CGGTGTAAGCTGAATGTAACTATCTTAAAAAATGAACAGCATTTTCCACAAACACACACACAGAGAGACACTGACACTACAACATACGCCTATTACTTCTTCGGATATGCCCGAATGATCGTTTTTCCTTTTACAGAACAACTCAAGGATATGCAACATCCATCATTTTTATTTTCTGTCAACAAAGTGAACAAACCTTTGCCTGTTTTCCTTTACGTCCTCGTTTATTAACTTCATCCATTTTCGCACGCGCAGAAATATGCTCGGTGTAGTACTCGTCGTGCTTTGATTTCAAATGTTCGATCAGTGCTGTGTAGCTGAAAAATACTACTGAAATCAGAAATTTCACCATTTCCACGATTTTAGAGAATAATCCCTTCACATCCGAGTCTGAGGACCTCCAATACCGAAGTCTTCCGATACCGGTGCCTTCTGGAAAGAAAGTTGGTGGTGAATTTGATTCCCCGATATATACTGATGCCAGTTTACTATTGAAGAGAATGAAAGATTTTTTGTACATCAGGAAGCACCGAACCCTCAACCTTCAGCATGAAAAGCTCAACTTGCTACTAGCTGCTCACTATGCAGATAGCTTTATTATAAGAAGGCACACTTACACATGTGAAGAAAAATCGCATAAAATGCATGGAATTTGTTTGTCGATCTTCGAGCGGCTGTTATGCTTGACGGTGAGGTGATAGGCCAAGGTATATACCGACGAAAATGGCAGTTTTTCCTTGCAGTCACTGTGCAGACAAGAAAGCGTTGCGATGTCTGCGATGTTCGGCACAAAACGGCAAATACGTTCCAAAACGTTAATCTGAAGTCACAAAAATGCTCTGTGAACAACCCATACGAAGATGCATTTTTGAATTACAGATGTCATAAAAGTTCATTATCGGGCGCAATGAAAATCAGCGCTGTCTCGGAATAGCCGCATCCAAGCAACAAATGCGCTGCGCGCAGTAACACCACTTTGCTAAGTCAAAGCGGAATATATGACGGTAGGAGAAAGCAGAACCGGAACCCAAC